CAGCTGCAGCCAGAGTGGGTGTGCAGGGGATGCCCGCGCCTCGGTGCGGGCGCAGGGGGTGAGCACCCTCACCGGCAACCGGGCAGCTGCTCTGCGCCTCGGTGCCCAAGACACGAGCGACGATGTAGAAAACGTGCAAGTTAGCAACCTCACGAATTCAGCGATGGGTCTGTGAATTCATGTCCCTTTGCTGGCACTGTCCCAGCCGCCTCCGTCCCCTGGGCAGGCAGACAGCCCCGCTCCCGGAGCAAAAAGCACCGGGACGAGGTGTCCCCGAGAGACCGCGACGCGAGCGTCACTGCCGACTCTCCCAGGCACCACGTCAGGCTTTTGGCTCGGGCTGTTTTGCTGAAGTCACCCAACCCATCAGCTTTGGGGGAAGCCCAACCCATCAGCGCCGGGGACTGTCCCCTGCTGTCACACGTCCTGTCCCCAGGGCAGGTTTCACAGCAGAGAGAGGAGATGCAGGCGCCCGCAATCCGGCCAGTCGTATCAGGTTGCTGTCCCGGTGGAGGTCAGCCTGGATCTGATTCCAGCTGACCTGAAAACCAGGCTGGGAAAGGGCTGGGAGGGCACACGGGAGGGAGATGGTGCCGCTTCCCACGCTCCCAACCCTCCTCCTCCTCCCAGCCCGTCTCATCGCTGCGGGACACTGCGGCACCGGCCGGCACGGAGCTGCTGCCGCTTCCAGCACCCACGGGTGGGTGCCTGAACACCCGTGGGCACTCTGGGCACGGGTCATGCCAGCTGCACAGGACCTCACCTGCAGGAGATCTTCGCTCAGAACCTCCGTCTTCTCAGCCCTGCAAGACATGAAAGAACACAAAGCGTTGGCGAACGGTCCGGCACACGCCGTGGCACCAGGCATGGCTGAACGCGTTTTTCCATCGGGATGCAGCAGTGATTTAAGGCTCTCTGGTCCCACCAGCCATCGCCTCATCTCCCACATAAGCAAAGGATGGAGCAGCTTCGTGGCTCACCATGAGCGTGCCACGTCTCAGGCCAATTTAGGGTCCTGCCCTGATCTCCTCCTTATTTTTCCATTACCCCCAGCAAAACAGGGATGTTAAATTCCTGGGAGTGCTGCGCAGGGATGCGGTGCGTCTATGCACGACAGCAGCTCCCCGGGCCGCGCCGGGCTCTGGCACACCCTCGGTGCCATGGACTTAAAGGACCGACCCCGTCCGCACG